CAGTGGTTATTGCAAAACGTATTGAAATGAACTTATTGCACATATTAAACCTGAGACTAACTAAGCTTAAATTATTGCCTATAAAAACAACATTAAACATTAAATCAGTTGCATTCATTTCTTATGGCTCTATCTGCAACTTTTCCGGAGTCATTTCTTATGATTACATTTTTCCACAGGCCAACAAACAGCTTCAAAAAAACAATTTCCCTCAAAGAGAAAACCAAACATGCCCTGTTGTCTCAAGAAAGAAAGTGCAGAAGGAAACATCCATTGAAACTCAGTTTGCTGCTCTGTGATGCTAGTTCAGATACTTGGCATCTCATCTCGGGTGCAAGGTCATCAATGTTTGGGCTCAGGCTCTGAGCGGAGGAAACCTTCAGGATGTTATAATTATAGTAATTAGAAATTATCTTGCGGGCCGAAATTAAATCCACCAAGGGCCTGATTTGGCCCCCGGGCCTTGAGTTTGACACATGTGATCTAAACAAACCAAACAAAGTCAGACTTACTGTTCGGACTACAATTGCTGATTAATGTGGCCTAACTCGCTCCACCTGTTTTAAGTTTTCCCAAACATAACCTGATATAGTCACTAATGCAACAGCCCACTTTGCAGCCCTTTTTTTAAAAGCCACAACATTTGACATGATTGATACCTTTAGATAGCAACATGCTTTGTTGCTATCAGCCTCCATTGCTATTTCCATACACATGATAAAGTATGTTTAGTCAGGAGGTAGATTTATACGATTTGTGCCTCTAGTACAGGGGTAGCCAACACGGTGCCCGTGCGCGGGCATTTAGTCGCCCGCAGGGGCAACGTGAGTCGCCCGCAGGGGCAACGTGAGTCGCCCGCCGGGCATGCTCTAAAAATAGCTCGCCAAGCAAATCCAAATTGTAAAAAATACACAAAGCAAAAAAGGAAATGTAATTTAAAAGAATCGACCCTATGCTTAAACGAAACCTCAATCATGGCGAACTCTATCTACTTGCTACAACTATATATCTATCTATCATCCCTCCTCCCCCCACCCCCATAATGAATATCGACCAATCACGTTCTTGCTTGATTTGCGGGTCCAGAGTTGCAGTCGGGAAGAAGAGCAATGTGGCACCTCCCTGCTGATTTTCCTTCTGGCAGAATCTACACAACACATCAGCCCCATTGAACAGCCTAGTCGTGCCAGCCTACACAGCACATGAGGGGCAGAGTTTTACTGTGTGTGTGTGTTGCAACTTGCATATATATTTATTGCACTTGATGCACACACACGCATAGCGTCATTTCCACTGGGGACAGGGGGAACATGTCCCCTCCCACTTTTCAAAATCCCGTTTGTGTCCCCCCACTTTACAAATATGTTTTTCTTTTTTTTTTAACGCAAGCCTTCATCGCCACAGAGGAGCACACAGCCTCTGTGAGAGAGCTTGGGAGAGCACGGGAGAGCACACCTTTATCTATTTAATATAGATAAAGTAAGAAATCATTCCAATGTGTACTATAGGACAGTAAAAAACAGTTTAAAAAGGGGAGTGATTAGTAAAATATGCATAAAGAAAGAATGCTAACTATAGGTAACATTAGATAAGAATAAACAGGTTTCAATGATTTGTTATTGGTTGTGATCATATTTATAAAGATGTTTGGATTATTTAAAAGTATACAGCTCCTGTTCATATGAGTGTTGAGAGCTGTATCCATAAATTCATGTTGTGCTCAAAGTGCACCAGATTGATGCATTTGACTTCAACATTTAAAAAAAAATCTTCCCAGGGTTGTATGCCCCCGGACCCCCCTAGAGGATGTGAGGTCCACCCCCCAAATAAAGCAGGTTAAAATAATTAAATTGCATACACTGAAAATGGGTCCCACAGACCCAAACAGCACACAAAGGTTAAAGGTCAGAATATAATAATGTTAAAATGTGCTAAATATATATACACTGCAAAAAACAAAAAAAAGAGGAGCAAAAGTAGCTCACGACTTGTTTTATTTTTTGAAAGTAGCTCTCATCCTGAAAAAGGTTGGTGACCCCTGCTCTAGAAGAATTACTACTGCTATTTTAAAATGACTGTTCAAATAACACACTTAGCCATTTAATTCTGGGCTCCTCTTGGTTTGGTGAAAGTGCAATATTATTGTCCTGTTCCATATTTACTGTGTATATGATGTTTTGTCCCCTCAACCTTGCAGTTACAGGACAGGTGCTGCGTTGTGACGCCATTGTGGACATCATCAGTGAGATCCAGATCGTGTCGACCACCAGAGAGCTTCATCTCGAGGACTCGCCACTGGCACTCAAAATTCATGCACTGGACTCTGAAGGTGACATACCGGCTCACCACAGGATGACGTAATGGGGATGATTTTAAATAATATCACCTTAAGACTTTTGAAAATGTTTAACAGCAATACTGTTATGTTATTCAATTATCCTATCCTTAAGTCCACAGCACATTGTTTATTTGGAGCACAAAAGACCTGTCAGAGTGACGAGTGAGCTGGCTGTAGGCAGCATTTTCTTTCCCCTCAGGCTGCTATTGTGAGGTGGCTGCGTTTGTTCTGTTCGACCGGTTTCATTTAAGCCAGACACACTTAGTTCAATGAGCTGTAGCTATAGCCTGATTCTTTCTGATGATATCTCCAGGGCCTGGTGCTTTGTTTTTGTTTGCTTTGGCTTAAGAGTGCATTTTATATTCCTCAGATGAAGTAGATTGCAAAAGCACAGCAAGTTTCCCTTAATGAAATGCCTATTGGTTTGATTTTGGTTAATTCGACTGCCAGGAGCCTTTAGACATTTGTGCTCAGTAGACATTATACATTTTAGCATAATGTGACTTCAGGCTTATAACACAAGTTGAAAGGTCTGTGTAGACATCCTCTGCTTCTTACTAAATTGCAAATACCAATGTATTTAGATAAGAAAATTCTTAAAATGTCTTATTCTTGTCTTGTTTGTGTTGCAGGAAACACCTTCAGCACCCTTGCAGGTCTAGTGTTTGACTGGTCCTTAGTGAAGGATGTAGATGTGAATGGAATCTCTGACTCTTACAATTCATTACGGTAGGCTTTCCTGTGTTAATACAGCACTCTCTCTTTACTGAGCAGACTTGTTTTCAGAGTTATCAACCTACATTGACATTCTAACCTAACCATAAAACCTACAATATACTGTAGTGACCCTGTTGTTTCATCAAAGTAGTGTCAAGTTCATGTTTTACTTCTTGGTTCCTCTTCTTCTGAAATTGAATGTTTCTTGAGGTCACATGGAAATGACCAAACTGAGTTTTCTAATATGTCTCTTTTCTCTTCTCAAGGGTACTTAAATTCTCAGAGTCCACCTACACTCCCCCTGCGTACATATCTGAAATGGAGCGTGTCGGGAAACAGGGCGATATTATTTTGGTGTCAGGATTGAAAACGGGACATGCTAAACTAAAGGCCAAAATACAAGAGCCATTGTACAAGGTAAGCTGTTAAGAGGTGCGAAGAATCTATTTATTGGCAGTTGTAGAAGGTCTAAGAAGAGTACAAAAAGTTGTAGTTAGTTCTGCCTTTTGTGTGATAGCTTATCTCCTAAGATGCACACGTCTAAACTCTCGATGTGGACAATGCTCGTTGCCAATAGTGTTTAGCATGTAAGGGCGGTAAGGTAACACGAGCAATTTGTCTAAACATTTAGCAAAAGTGCACCACATTCAGACGGAGGAATGCACCGGGTTCGACTGTCTTTCAGTAGCTCTGTAGCCCCATCCACGAGTAACGTTTCCACGTCGGGTGTGTTATGTATGCTAGCAGCAACACACGCAGTTAACAAAATTATACAAACATGGATTAATGATTAGAGGTAACTGAGTTGTTTATTTTGTTAAAGTTTCAGCTATTCTGTTTACAGTTCTGTCATCACATTATTTAATACGATTTGTTAAAATATTGTTGTTTCTTTTGATGTGGAATATTATTTATTTAATTAAATAAAAAGCAATGTTAATTTTGTTTAGTTAATTTAATAATATATGTATTTTTGAATCAAGTATTCAACTTTATTGTCTTCATTGTTAGTTTCCACATGCCTAAACAACCTCAAGCTAAATCTAAAAGTTGACGGCTAAATAAGAGCGTTTGAGAAATTATGCAAGGCATAATAGTCTGAATAGTCGATTAATCGTTTCATTAGTCGATAGATTAATCGATTATCAAATTAGTCGTTTGTTGCAGCCCTAGTCTAAACATAGCAAAAGATTGCACTGTAGTAACGAGACCCCCCCTGCCTTGGTATATAATGATACAGCAGTAGTGACAGTTAAGCTGGTTTTCTGTTTTGTTAAATAATTGTCGCCCACATTTCTTGTTATCGTGCTATGCCTCTACCTGAGTTATACAATCATGAAGCTGTTGCCCAACAAAGAAGTTCATTTCAGTAATAAAATATTCCAAACATAACCAACAGATGTATGTGATTAATTGAACCACTGCAGCCAGTTTGTTCTGGTTTGTTAAGGCGGGAAGCTAATGTTGTGTTTTACTGTAACTATGGTAACTGTGCCACAGGATGTGGGCGCTGCGGAGGTGAAGCTGCTGATTCTAGAGAACATCCTGCTGAGCCCTGCACACGATGTCTACCTACTGGCGGGAACTTCCATCCGATACAAAGTCCTGAAGATAAGACAGGGCACGATGACAGGTCTGTTCAGTGATGAGTCAAATCCATATTTTACTATAACTTAACCTACTGTTCTGATCTGATTCTGTTTAATTTAAATATGACACAAAAATGGAGTTGAGTCATTGATTTCACTCCCTGTCACCAGATGAGTGAAGAAGCTGGGCACGTTTTTTCAGTTTCTCGTACAGAGGAGCCAGCTTTTAAACTAATGCGTGTTTGTGTTCCTCCAGAGCTCTCCATGCCCTGTGATCAGTATGAACTGCACGTCCAGAACAGTGTGATCGGCACTAATGGAAACCCAGACGTCTCTGTGGCCAGTCTGGATCAAAGCACTTCCACAGTTACAGCAATTCAACTTGGATACATCAACGTGGTGCTGGATCACAAAAGTATCCTTCCTGCACTCTGTAGCTGATATTATGATGCTTTAATGTCATGATTTTTGCTTTGACATCTTCTGCTAATAAACTGGGAACTTGTCTTACCTACAGCGATAAAGGTGTTTTAACAATGAAACTTGTTTATCTGTTACCAGTGGAGTAGTACTAATTGGAGTAGGATAATGCATATGGCAAGAAGTTATTTGTCATTGTTTATGAGTGACATTTCCTTAATAGCTATCCTCAGGCCTTCGAATGCAAGGAGTGTCTCGCCTACCCAACAGCACTCTGTATGTGGTTGAACCAGGATACCTAGGTCTGTTTCTCTCTCTTACTGTTTAAAAACATGAACAGTCTAAGAATGATTTCAAAGTGAAATTGTTTTGAAAGATGTTGCTGATCTTTATTTCTCTGTTTGATTTGCTCAGGGTTTAAAATTCAGCCAGGAGACAGCTGGGTTCTGGAAACAGGCAGAGTATATGACATTGTCATCGAAGTCTTTGATAAATTTGGCTATAAGATCTACCTCTCTGATGTAAGTATGCTTCAGTAAAACCACTGTTACACTTTTTTAATGTTTTTCTTTTCTGTCTGTGAATGCTGTATGCATTGCTACTAGATAATATGACATTACAGGTGAAAATCAGAAAGTGTTCTTTGACCGTGTAGCCAGTAAATCTTTCACGTATCATTGTTACTACAACCTCAGTTGACCAAAGTGCTGTACAGGGAACAAATATAAAATAATAAAACAATAATTAAAAACAACATAAAAAGCACAATAACTAGAAACATATAAAAACACATACAAATATCAAAATGTTATGTTCAACTAGTATTAAAAGCCAGTGCAAAACTTTAAGACTATATATAAATACATATATATAAAATAATGTATTATATTACGTTATTGCCTCTGCATTGGAATATTATTGGATAGTGTAATGATTTCATAATTAACTACGTCTGAAAAGCAGAAGTCTAGGGCAAATAATTGCAAGTCTCTTCAGTGTGCATGTCACAAAATGAGATGCATTGTGGGACATGTAGTTTATGGACAACGTGCTTCTGTAAAGAGACATGTAACCATATTGTAGGAGCCACATATGAAGTATTTTTCCATGTTTGTTACGGTACATTTGTTTGAGTCACTATAGGTGGTGTGCGTGTCATTGGATTTGTGTGGTGGCGTTTGCGGTTATATCCGGTTGCTTCTACCTGCGCACTTTATGATAGATGGAGGGGGAGTGAGCTGGAGAAGGACGTTTTTTGTTGACCGCACGCATAAAAGAATATACGCATATGGATATGGACTATTGAATGTTTGCTTTGGAAGTAAAAGGTCAAACGCATACTGGTGGAAAGAATGAGATTTTGCGCGTCCACAATGTTTTTCTCTTGTTCAGTCGCTCGCGGCACTTTGTTTGGAATATTACTGCCGCAATACACATAATAATAAACATATTATATTCTTTGCAAGCTCTTGCGGGGCCACATAAAATGAAGTCGAAGGCCGGATTTGGCCCCCGGGCCTTGAGTTTGACACCCCTGACTGAAAGACAGGAACAGCCTGAACAGCATTGTTAAAACCTGCTCTTAGATCAACGGCGTGAAACAGAGAGACTTAAACTCCTTCTGAACCAACAGATTCTGCGGAAAGCAGAGAGCACTCTGAACTCTCCAGGTCACGTTCTTTCACATGAATTTCCTCTTCTGCCATCAGGGCGAAGATATGCTCTACCTGCTCTAAAGACTAATCACTTTTCAAAATCATTCATCCCTTCTGCACTCAAACTTTTAAATTCTTAAAAGGCTTTTAACTTGATTATTTATTTGTGTATTTATTATTGTGATACTATGAACTATTTATAGTGTAAATTGGAATTATCCACATCTGTGCTCCCGGGTGTATCTGTGTGTTTTCTTCCTGTATGTTCCTGCCTGTGTACATGACATAAGCTGCTGCTCATAAGCAAATGCCCCTTGCGGGATTAATAAAGTTGTTGATTGATTGATTGATCTATAGAGTCCTCTAGAGTCATACGAATGCAGTAGTTAAACAATCTGTGTGTTTTTGATTTTTGCAGAATGTCCGCATTAGCACTGCTTTCCCCTTGGAGTACTTTGAACTCCTGGAGTCTTCTCTGAATGGATCCTATCATCGTGTCAAAGCGCTCAAAGAAGGCCTCTCTCTCATTGATGCTACTCTTACAGCTGTTGTGGATGAAGTGAGTGAACTTTCTACCATTTCAGTCTGTACTTCAAGAGGAGAATCATTTTTTGCATTACCCTTCTGCTCCTTTCTTTCACTTCAATAGAGCGAGCCTGATCGTTTCATGTGGCCTCTGTTCTTTTTTCAGAATGGACTAGTCCACCCACTCGCCAACCCAGTGCACAATGAACAGGATGTAGAAATCTATAACCCCATAGTTCTTAGTCCCAGTATTTTGACATTTCCATGGCAGCCCAGGGTCGGAACTTATCAGTACACAATAAAGGTAATTAACATGTCACTCATATGACACTTTCTGTATGGCTTTCTAGCTTTGACTCTAATTCACACTTTACCATAACACTTATGGTTGCTTTTACCGCTAAAGAGGTGTCATTCAGAGGGCATGTGATTACTCCCTTTTCCTCTGACAGGCGACAGGAGGGAGTGGGAATTTCAGCTGGTCTTCGTCCAACACAGCTGTGGCCACAGTGACGGTGAAAGGCGTGATGACAACAGTCAGTGACATCGGCGTCAGTGTCGTTTACGCTCATGATCTACGAAACCAACTACACTTCGGACAGATGAAGGTCAGCTGGCACAGAAAACTGTCAGATTGTTAAACAACAAACTGCTATTTAGTAACGTTATGGCCCAAATGATAGTCCTAATTACAGATCTTTTTCAATGTTATAGTCCATGATGTCTAATTTTCAGAAAACTCAATTGCACATTACACCATTTACATTTGTGTGAGACTCCATGTTGTTGTTGTTGTTGTTGTTGTTGTTGCCCAGATTTAATCCAACATGTTGTGATTTTATTATCTTCCCAGCGTCTTTACATTGTTTTATAATCCTGTTTCCTCTCAGGTGTATGTTGTTGAGCCTGTTGCCATGGACTTCGCCCCCTGCCCCGTGGAGGCCAAGGTGGGCTCGGTCCTGGACCTCCCTCTCAGGATTTTCGGCCTGTTGGGGGAGGTGGAGAAGGAGCGCGTCATGTTGAGTGACTGCTCCCACTTTGACCTGCAGGTCGAGGAGGAGAACAACGGCATCTTCCAACTACTAAGCGGTGAGTCCTGCTCATCTGACCGGGACACATAGTGGGTTAATTCATTAATGAACATGGTAGAATAACATTTGGTTAAGGCCCCTGCTAAGGGATGCTCAATCATGGGATTCACTTATTAATGACTCTTTAGTGCAGTTTAGTGCTAATCAATTCAAGTTATGACTGATATTGACTCTTAGCTAGTGAATTGCCAATTAAACCAGAGGCAGGCATGTTTTGTGTGTATTGTTTATTTAGCAATACTGGATTGAACATGCATGTGCTTGAGGCTTACTGTATACTGTACAAGGAGGTTAATTAGGTCGTTGACTTCATTTGAATTCAAACGTGTCATCTACTTACTGATATAGAGCTTTGTTTGGTCCAGTGGTGGTGTACAGTAGGAGGGGCACCCTTTGTTTTCTCTGTGGTTGTTTCAGTGATAACTGATACAATCTATAATTACTGTTATTGTTTAACTCTCCATACAAATTCCCATGCAAGCAGCAAGTGCTGGTAACTTTTTAATCGATTTAGTCCTTAACTGCAGTTGGAAGAATAGATATATTAAAAATGTATCCATAGACACTTAATAGTTGCCCAGCTTAATGAAACCAAATGCATAATACTGGTAGCGAGCGTATAGGTCTGAATCCTCTCCAACTCTCTGAAGGATTTATACTTTTTTTTTTTTATGGCTTTCAGAATCTTCATTAAAACATTTATCTCTTTAAGATCTCTGTTAGCAAGAGCTACCGTTTTTCATTTTGAAATCTTGTATTATTAATCAGAGGAGTGGGCTGGGACAAATAACAGGATCTTTCTGTACTCCAGTGCGGTTTAAGAAAGGAAGATACATGAGGACACCTGGGTGAACTGTTGTGGTTATTTGTTCTTTGTCATCATATTGCATTTTCTCTCTTACTCTTCTTCAACCCAGGGAGGATGGCTCCAGGCCAGGAGCGCTGCAGTGGGGTGACGGCCAAGGCCCTGGCCCCCGGGTACACCGTGCTCACCGTGAGCTACACCCACGGCAACGTCCATCTCAGCGCCAAGATCACTATTGCTGCTTATCTTTCTCTCAGAGTGAGTCCAAAGGCTTTATGCTACCAGGGCTCATCATAGAAGTCATTTCATTTTGCCCTCTTAATGGATATTCTCAAGACATCTAGGGTTACTTTTCTTGTGGGTTGTATTTACTTGTTTGTTTAATGGTGTTCTTCACCCTTCTTCTTATTGAATGCCATGATGAGGCATCTCTGCCCGAAGTCTTTGTTGTGATTTGCTTTTTATTCTTTTCATCTCAGCAATTAACTTTGGTCCTTGAAGGAAAGTCGTGCACATTCATACACGTTCAGGCACACAGCCTCTCCCTATAATCAAGGCAGAAAAGCGATGATCAGCGAGTGTTAAAGATTTCTCCTCCTGGGTGTTACTCTATGAATTTTAATTATGTAACACTGATTTGTTTTCTAGGCCTAGGCTCTAGTGCTGCACAGGAGTCAAAATGACTTTAAATGTGGAAGAGCACCTCATTTGACAGTGTGACCTCCTGAGCCACAGATATACTGCTGTGGTCTCCTTATGTTAGGGTTATCAGAAGAGTAACATGCTCTTTGATGCACTACAGGTCATGTATTTTTTATTATGGAAGTGAGTGGTATTCTTCAAAAATATTGCAGACGTTTTTGTGATGTCTTCATTTCTTTTGCCCTGGCAGCTAAAGTTTGACCCAATTTCTTTTCTGTGAAATGCTGCGGATTTTAGCTTTCACATTTCCCAGCCAGCAAAGTTAAGATCCTCTTAACACTAGAATAGCCAAGCGGATGCACAAAAACCTGCTTTTATTTTTTAATCAAGGGACCTTTCTTTGGTTTTAAAATTGTCCTTCCATGATAATCTGCACACGTACTTCTTACGTTATTACATGTTGGTTCTCCATTAGTTTGAGATTTGTGAAAGCATTTCTTATGAAGTGTCCTGCTGTAACTTTGCATAATACATGACTGTTGTTTGGCAGGCGATTGACCCTGTATCTGTCGCCGTGGTGACTCTGGGATCTTCTAAAGACATGTTGTTCGAGGGCGGGCCCAGGCCTTGGGTTTTAGAGCCATCGAAGTTCTTCTGCAACCTTATAGCTGAGGACGATGCCACTGTGAGCCTAACCCTGACCAGCCCCTCATCTCACAACTATAACCAGCACTGGGTCAGAGCAACCTGCCAGGCCCTGGGAGAACAGGTGGGAACTCATAATGTCTCTATTTAATATGCATGAAGCCAAATTTAAGAATTGTATGGTTCAATTTCACCCCTTTTATTTCTTGTACCCTGACTGTAAATACAATTTCTTGAAATTCCACCTTGCATTATCTACCTGACGTCCTTTCTGTATGACTGTAATGGCTCTCAATAGTTATAGAAACAGCAGCGCACTGTAGCATGTGGCCATCGGCTTCAGTTATTATGTCATTCTTCAGGTGCTGGAGGTAATGGTGGGGAACAAGGCCAGTGTAACCAATCCTTTTCCCGCTGTGGAACCGGCAGTGGTGAAGTTTGTGTGCGCCCCCCCGTCTCGCCTCACCCTGCTCCCTGTGTACAGCAGCCCACAGCTGGACCTGACCTGCCCGCTGCTGCAGCAGAACAAACAAGTGGTGTGTATGTCGCCAACAAGCCTCACCTGATGTGTTTAGCTGCCTACATTTACTTTTTAAACCTGGTCTTTGTTTTACATTGATTATTTACTTCTGTCCATGGCTGTACATGCTTGCATCTTACGAAAACCTTCAAATAATATAATAATAATATGAACACATTTTAGGCTCCTGTAAACATAAAAGGAAGCATCTTTGGCTGACTGATTTTAATTGTTTGTTCATAATTCATTCAACACTTCCTTTTTCTAGGTACCTGTTTCAAATTACCGTAATCCCATTTTGGACTTGGCTGCTTTTGATGAACAAGGAAGAAAGTTTGACAACTTCAGCTCTCTGAGCATACTGTGGGAATCGAGCATTGTGTCGCTGGCCAGCATCGAGCCCACTCTGCCCATGGAGCTGCAGCCGTTTGAAGACGGCAACAAACAGATGAAACTCCACGGTAAAGCATTGTGACTTGCCTTGTTTTTTCTTGTTGTGTTTTTCCGAAAGAGTGGGTTATCGGCTAAATGTAAGTCTTTTGTTGAGACATTTGGAAAAGTAATGAGGCAAAGTTCGGAGGGAGGCTCTTGCAGAATTAAATTCTAAGACTGCGGAGGCAGACAGGGAATTATCCATTCACCTATTAGTGAGAGTACATTTTTTACTTTTGTTTCCTCTCTCTGTTTTTATAGATTAGTTTAGACAAAAGAGTTTGGATTGTTTGTTTAATGACGTTTTGTTTGTTGTTTTCTGTTGCAGGACGACAGACAGTGCTTGTACATCACCAAACAGGCATCGCTGCCATCACTGTGACAGCTCTGGGTTACCAGGACTTACATCTCACAGCAGCCAAAGTTCCCAGTCCAGTAAGTGACTCAACCACTAAAATATGTCCAAAAGTTTTGCACTTTCTTTCTCTCTAACCAAAGCAGCTCAACTTCTATCCAAAAATATCCCTATATCCGTACTCTTGATCAGTAAGCATTTAGCTCAAACTCAGATCAATATCAGGTGTTTTTGACTCGATCCAACTGTGATAGAAATGTTATTTATTTGATTAAACGTGTCGTTTGGAGTCAGAGTGCAGGTCTGACTTTTATCAGTGATGCTTGATTTCCAATAAACTTTTTTTCTATTTTAAACCCACCTTGCTGTATTGGATGTTTGTATAATATTTAAGTTGTAAGCATAACACTAACTTGGTTTCGTCTCTTCTCTTTCTAAACAGTATGACCCTTTGACCCCAGTCTCAGCCACTCTGGAGCTGCTATTGGTGGAGGATGTGACGGTCTCTCCTGAGATGGTTACCATATACAACCATCCAGATGTGCGGGTAAGAGACGGACACACACACACACACACACACACACACACACACACACACACACACTCACATACATGTCACAGGGTCATGTCTTAGCAAGGGTGAACACGGACTCACAAAATGTTTTTCATGGCTTGTTTGCTGAAAGTAATTTTCAATTGATATTTTTTTGTTGTTGCTATTATTGATGTTTTTTACTCTTTTATTGAGCAGAAAAAAACTTTAAATTGCATCACCTTCGGTCACAACTGAATGAATTGAAAAGTGAATAATGATTGCTCTGGGCACCGTGATAGATTATCCCCCTCAGTGGGGGCCCCCCTCCTAATCCTGTGTGATATAAGAGCGGTGTTTGGTGGGTGTGGGGGTTAAATAACAGTTAGTGACCTGTGTCAGAGGATTTTATAGTGGGAGTGTGGTCAGAGGTCCTCTTTAATGTCTTATGCAAGGCCAGATGCCTGTCAGAAATAAATGACCGCAATATGTAATCATCATTTTGAGCTGTATTACTATTTGAAGCTCTCACAATGCATGAACTGTTTTTCAGGCGAACCTGGCACTGCGAGAAGGTTCAGGGTACTTCTTTATCAATACCAGTATGAAAGGGATCGCAAACGTGCTCTTTCAGGAGGCCCAAGGAACAGCTCAGGTAAGAACGACCATCTAAACTGTGATGGGAATACACAATTGTTTTAACGACAAACTGTACCGTTGATTTGACAGAGAACGCAAATGCATAACCTGACCAGGATATTGATTAAAGTACACAACTACTCCATTGAATGCAGATCAATGTGATTCTGATGTATCACTTTGATTTGCTGCACAGGTCTCTCCCATCCACCCGGGGGAGGTGAAGGTGATGGTTCATGACCTTTGTCTGGCCTTTCCAGCGCCTGCCCAGGCTACAGTGCACGTTTCTGACATCCTAGAGGTTTATGTGAGAGTGGTTGACAAGGTGAGTTTAGCACCCCATAATCCCTCATATTAGATGGTGCAGCCACAGCTTGACTAGATTATTATTATTATTCGTATAATCAGTAACATGCGTTCCCGGAATGTCTCAATGACGTCAACGCACTAAATATGGACTTCTTCTTCTAGCACTTCCCTTTGCAATTTTAATAAAAAGTTGGCCTGTCTTGAATTAGCATCGTTAAGTTTGCCCTGCCTGTGAACCAAAATGATTATTTCCCTTATGGTTCGTGTCTTCTCTATTACAGGTGGAGATTGGCAAGTCTGTGAGAGCGTATGTCAGAGTCTTGGATGATAATAAGAAGCCTTTCCCAGTCAGCTTTTTCCATTTCATGAATCTTAAACTCACGGCAGCTTCCGCAATCGTCTCTCTGAAGTGAGTAATGTGAAACTTGTTGATTAGGATGAAGGAACTTTTAAAGGCAAGTTCATGTAAATGTTGAAATGTCTTTTTTTCCAGACCATTAGCGCAGGCCACAGAGCTGGATACAGCTGTGTTCGTGGTGAAAGGCGCCTCTATTGGTCAGACCACTCTGTCAGCTGTTGTTGTGGACAAAAATGGGAGGAGAATTGCATCTGCACCTCAGCAAATTGAGGTATAATGTTGTGTGAATTTCTAAAATGTTAACTCGGGCATATGTCTTCCACATGTTGTAACTTGTGTTTCTCTTTTTAACATCTAGGTGTTTCCACCGTTCAAACTCATTCCAAGGAAAATGACGCTGTTAATTGGAGCAATGATGCAGGTATGTACAAAATTGATTCTTTAGCTGTGTCTGGAGACAGCTGGCCTCAGTTTGTCTTGCCAGAAGAGTTCATCTGGTCCACAGTTTATATTCCAAAAAAGCCCTCTGCCAGAGCTCTCCTGGAAAATGACGTTAGACTTGCTTTAAACATCCAGATCGCCTTTCATTTTGCCTCCGCTCATGCTTTAATAAGAAAGCTATAACCATCTATCCAAGAGGCCTCCTATTTGCTAAACACACAATTCAATAATAAACATGCCTTGCACATTATTTGTGTTGGATATCCGTGTTTCTAGTGTTGTGTATTTCACAAAGGATAATGCCCTTCAACAAATGACTATCAGACCTTGCTTTGATGAACGCTATTGACTAAAGCGTCAGTGAGTGTTGTCAAGTTTAATCATGCAAGAGTGATGCTCATTTATTTGTATTTGTATTTATTTTTTAATCCAAACTCTTAATCCTCTTTGCAATCCTGCTCTCATGTATAGATCACATCAGAGGGGGGCCCTCAGCCTCAGTCCAATATCCTGTTCTCTATTTCCAATGAGGACAAAGCTTCTGTTAACGGCATGGGCCATGTGAGGGGTGTTGCCATCGGTAATGTCACCGTGACTGGACTGGTCCAAGCTGTGGATGCTGAGACTGGGAAACTTGTGGTTGTGTCTCAGGTATATCAATATATAAACATCATGTGGACTAGTTTATCTTTCACCTACATTTTACAATGAAAAAAAACATAATCTCTTGTGTCCACAGGATCAAGTAGAAGTGGAAGTTGTGCAATTGACAGCCATTAGAATCAGAGCACCTATAACAAGAATGAAGACGAAAACACAGGTATTTAAGAAGAACTACAATGACCACAAATCAAAGAGTAACTGCTTATAGTTGTGTGCCAACAATACCAAATATTGAGTACTTTTAATGCGCATGTACTTGACTCATCTCCTTTCCTTTTGTAGATGCCTGTTTATGTGATGGGTCTGACCAATAGTCAAACACCCTTCTCCTTTGCCAATGCCATACCTGGCCTCACCTTCACATGGTCCACCACCAAGAGAGACATTCTGGATGTCCAGCCAAGACACAATGAGGTACCCTGCCCTCAGGATTGTTGACGTTTCATTTGGTAATGAATACCGAGTCATTCCTATTTCAGGCTCCTAGTCCTCTCAATCCTTTTATCAGATGAATCTTTAAGATGTGCTGTCCCCTGCATTGCATTATGATTCAAATCAAAAACAGCATCTGCCTTTCCTCTGCTGTCTTGTCAGCCTGTCCCTGCTTCCTCATCGTTGTTGCCTTTTTGATTTGATTTGCTGCTGCTATTTTTGCCATTGTTACAAGCTGTCTGTCTCCTTCAGGCTAACGTGGAGCCCCAGCCGGCGCACAACTTTGGTATGATGGTGACGGGAAGAACGAGAGGGCGGACAGGGCTTAAGGTGGTGCTCAGAGTTACTGACCCGGAAGCTCTGCAGCTCTTAGGAAGTCTACAAGAACTCACAGATGAGATCCAGATCCAGGTACAGCACTGTCAATAAACCACTGCTTTAGATATTTGTATCTGTGTCATTAGCACCCGTATTATACATATTGTAAAGATAAACGTTTTAAAAGCCCCTTTTTATGGACTACTTATCGTGATCATATCCCCCTGCTGTTCCTTCATGGTGGAGATGCTGGCGTTAAAGGAAGATGCTGAGCTTTGGAGTTTATATCTGAGGCTGATAAGACTGCAGCTTCAGACTGCATTAAACTATGACATGTTTCTTGTCCCGAAACATCAAAGAGCGATCAAAGCCCTTTTTAATAATTGGACTTTCAACCTTTTGCTTTGATCAAGGTCTATGACAAGCTACACATGCTCAATCCTGAAGTAGAGACTGGGGAGCTACTGATGGCTCCGAACTCAGCCCTCAAACTACAAACTAACAGGTGAGTGCCTTTTGTCTCTTGTTGCATGTGAACAGACACTTACATTGCAAAAAGACACACATCACATAACTTGATGGAATTGAATGTGACTGTTTCTCTGTCTACTAGGGATGGTGTGGGTGCGCTCTCGTATCGGACTCTGGATAGCCCTGACCAGGCTGTTATCGCTCAAGTGGACGATAAGGGCTTCCTCTCCTCTGGCTCTCTGACTGGCATCTCCTCTCTGCTGATCACCTCCCAGGAGACCTTTGGCATCAATCAAACTCTCATCCTTGCTTTGAAGGTCAGTTTGAGAGCCACTGCATGACACAATTGTTGGCTTTGAAGGCTGCATGTTATGGGCATTAACATAGAATTTCATTTCCATTACCTCTTGCGTGTAGTTATTATATAAACTGTCTGCTGCAAGGTGGTTAAATGTCCAAAATACACCGTTTGATAAATGTGGTTCCAATTCAGCATCAGTTTGTGATTTAGAAAATATGACAATGTGCCGCAGCAAAGCTAAATCAACAGAAAACCTAATCGTGCCTCCCAAATGGCAGATGTTTGGAGAATTGTATTTATGGAATCCGTCCTTCATACTTAAAAGTGTGGCTGACATGGCTTAAAAGAAAGGATTATTTTCGGTGTACATATTGCTGCCAAATTTAGGTTATAAAAATAAATAAAGATTCCTGTGGAAGAATTTATATTACTTTTCATAAAGCATCTGTCATTCTGATCAATTAGCTCCCTGTTTAGCTACACCTGCTACATGCTCTATTCTCAGTGGGGTAAGGCCACTCACTGTGTTTGTTAACAGTAGCACTGACCATGAAAATGACAGTTGACATTGTCCCTGCAGTTACTGAGTGTGACACCGGTTCTTCCCTTCATTTCTCAGGTGGTGCCTGTGTCCTATGTGCGCTTCAGTACCAGCCCAGTGCTGGACACAAACACCAGAGAGAGCCTGAAAGCCTTCCCCCTGGGCATAGTGCTCACCTTCACTGTCCACTTTCATGCCGGCACTGGAGAAGTCCTTCACAGCTCCAACTCCCACCTCACGTTCTCCACTAACAGGTAAACAGCAAACAATCTATAGATCCTTTAACACTTTTCACTATGTGGCTGTCATTTACATAAATCATGTATGCCTTTTTAAACAGTGTGACTCAAATCAAATCAAGTTTTATTTATATAGCACATTTTTAAAACGAGCCAAAGTGCTGTACATATAATAATTACCTTACAGTAAGGACACTATACAGTAAATACAACAGCACAGTTTTTGCAGAATATCAGTATGAGAAAACGACACCCTCTGACCTTAGAGGATGTCAAACCTCAATGAGTAGAATGCAAGCAGAATGAGGATGACGGAGGACATTGCAATTTGCCTAGGGCCCAGAAGTAAAAACCCCATTGTCCTGCTGTTCTGGGCTAAATATAGATTTATAGAGAGAGAGGCAGAGAGAGAGGCAGAGAGAGGGAGGTTCTTGGTACTCTCTCTCTCTCTCTCCCTCTCTCCGAGTTGTCCGCTCCTTCACCCTCTCACACAGCCTTGCCTGACCAAATGTCTCCCCCTATTTCAAATGATGCCTGACATGTCATGTCAACCCACTCACTACTCACCCTCTACCAGCTGAGAATTATATATATTATTTGGAATGTTTTTATCAATATCTCCAGATTTGTACAAGTTTAACATTTGGAAACATGGAGTCTTGATGCAATATTTATCATTTGAATGTATGTGACATTTATTTATTTTATTACCTATTTTATTCAGACCTGCGTTTGTATTAAGTGTTCTTTTAAATCTTAAAGCTATGTGTTACTTTTGGGTTTGTGAAGCACTTTGAGTTACATTTGTGTATGAAAAGTGCTATATAAATGAAGTTTGATTTTATTTATGAGATGAATCCATGCAATATATATCCCTAACACTAACAATATGTTCTATATTTAGCCAGTGTTTAATACTGTTGTTTCAGACTGTGTGTATTAATATCTGTAGAGTACTAGCAGAGGTCATGGCAGGCTACGCTAGGAGTTCACAGAATTAATTTCCCGGGCTGTTCCTTCCCAACCTCATTTAAGATGGAGTTGTTTCCACCCGAGTGAGTGAAGCAAATGAATGGGAGGAGTGTTTGGCAGGAAGACGCATTACTGCCCTCCTGATGAGGGGCTCCCTCACGCTATAAATTGATTCTATTACCTTGTTCTCCAGATGCTGACAGGAAATATTAGGGGGGAAAGTATAAAAAATGTGTGGTAAAATGGCCGGTAGCCTAAGGACTAAAAGGTCTGCTCTGCGATTGGATCCTTCTGAGTCCCCGGGTAGCCAATTGGATTTGTACTGGTATCTGAGGTTATCTGAGATTCTTTGGAGATAGAGGCAAAAAGCAAGACGTGGGGAATGTTTTTTAAATAAAAGCACTTAGAACTATCGCAAAATATAAACCAAGCAAGCTAAGTCATGTATTTCTTGATTTTTTTTTTCAGTAGCCAAATGTCAAATAGTATTGGCCTAATTTCAATTATTTTAATAATGTTTATTGTAATGTCCATTGGGCGGGAGACTAATTAGGGTAATTAGTCAAATAATTAAAGGGCATGAATCGAGCGTTGAAGGGGACCAATGACAGGCCATGAGGTGTTGCAGTGAGATTAGATTAGATGAGGTGTTCCTGGACATACAAAAAAAATCCTATCATCTAATAAAGAACTTCTGTTTTTGAGTCGTATTAAACGATACATTAATAAGTTGATGTATATTAATCCAACTCCTCTGTTCCGCCCTGCAGAGATGACCTGGTGCAGGTGGGGGTCGGGCCCGCTAACAACACTCTGACAGTGAGGACCATCAACGTGGGCCTCACTCTTCTTGCAGTGTGGGACAGTGAGAACGTGGGTGTGGCGGACTTCGTTCCACTTCCTGTGGAGCACGCCATCCACCCAGAAGAGGCCCACAGGCTGGTGGTGGGGGACGTGGTTTGCTTCACCGCCCAGATCTCCAGCCCTGAAGGTGAGACTGCTACATGTCCTTTATGCAGCAAATGTTTAAAGGGGACCTATTATGCAAAATCCACTTTTTCATGTCTTTTATACATAAACATGTGTCCCCTCCGTGTGAAGAGATTCTGAAAGTTTCAGGAAAAAAAATGCACTCACTTTTTCTCCTGATCCATTTATATAAAAACTTTTGGCCACTTTATGATGTCATAACGATTTTTTGGCTTGTGTAACCATTAGCCAATCACCAACCAAGGTAACAACCCCCCGACCTTATAACCTGAATCTCCTCCTCGAGCACCATTGTGTTCTTTTTAACCAAACATCTCTCAGAGGGGCGTGGGGAGTGGGGAGTGGCTCCTTATTCTTTATCTAAAGTAACAGACAGAGGATCAGCACTTTTGGAACAGGGCTGAAACAGAGGGGATTATGGGATGCTGCAATGATCTGTTTGGTGTTTCAGCAAAACACTTCAGACACATGTTTTGTATATATCTGAGACCTATAATATATTGATGAAAAACAGTATAATAGGGGACCTTTTTAAAGAATCATAAAATAACAGCTTTCAACTAAAATAACAAAGGTCAAACATTGGGAAATGTAATATTGAGTTCTGGCACTCTAAAGATGTCAGCCTACTTAATTGAATGATCCATCTTTATGTAATTGATAAATGGATTTGGAAATGGAACACACTGTCTTCCCTTCTCTGCAGGTGGTCACGGTACATGGAGCTCCTCGGCCAATGGCGTTCTTCAGGTGGATCCTAAAAGTGGTGCAGCAGTAGCCAGAGACTCTGGGACCGTCACTGTGTACTACGAGATACCTGGTGTTTTGAAAACCTACAGAGAGGTATGTTATCCAGTGGCAGAAAGGAGCCGCAGTGCTTCACTGACTGTTTCCCTTTTTTAGTCACGACTGTGATGAATGAGCTACAAGCAATCATTTCTAATTATGCAAACAGCACACCTCTCTGGTTCCTCTATTGCTAATCTCGACATCTCTGTTCTACAAATATTTTTCATCGGCTCCACCAGTGCATTATCCTGTATCTACTCAGCAATACATCATGGAGACAATGAAAGTACGACAGATGTGCAGTATATCCCTCATCACCTTTTAGTACCACATTGTTTCTGTCTAATGTCTGTGCATGACATTATCGCTGTGGAGATTCTCAAACACGGTGGAGAGGGATAAGGATTAATTGTCTCTCGCAGAGTGTCACCAACCATACTCCATCCAGTCTGATCGTGATCTGAATGTATGAATATTTCCTATTAGCAGAAGAGAATTGGTGCAAGGTAATTCATCTCAAACCAAAAAAGGCGTCACAAGCCAAATGTACTAAGTGAAGATGTCTTTTATCAGTGTGAGAGGAGACGTTGACAGAAGCAGCAGTAATGTTATATTAAACACTCAGCTGTGTTATAATTAGTTTTGTTTCACTGTCTGGTGTGATTGATGTAAACAATTTGTTTTGGATGGAAATTGCAATGTGGTTATTCGAGGCACTCGCCTGAATCGTCTTAGGATTTAATGGCTGCTTTCTTTCTCTGTATTTTCTGTAGATAGTAGTAGAAGCATCCACCAGGACAGCTGCTGTGGCGCAGGCTACACCTGTCAGGATCGGCAAGGAAACAAAGATCCTGCTCACAACCAGAGGGAGAGGAAACAACCTCATTGGTACTGAACTCACTCACAGGGAAAAATGTGTTAAAATAAGCTTTTTGGGAAATACAACACATTAGCCTTGTGACTATTGATGACACGATTGATACCACTTAAGTTACTTGGTAAATATGAAGCTACAGACCGTTAGCTTACATTACCTTTTTACTGGCTTTTTTCCAACTTTTTTGTTTAATACGTAGGAAAAAAAAGTGCCAATTTGACAAATTGCTGTTTTAATGATTGTAGACTATTTTGCAATGGTGATCTGTCATTTTCAAGGGTCTGACGCATAACCCAACAAAAAACACAAATTGTAGTTTTCACACTTTTTCTACAGATTAAACAAGATAGAAATGTTTAATAAGAGGGATGCAGAGGGGTTGAAGGAGGGTTTGTTAGCTTTGGACAGAGACAGGCTAGTTCTGCCTGTTTCTGCTTATGGCTATAGCTTCATGTTTGACGGACAATTGAGTGACGTCCATCTTTTTATTGAACTCTCGCACTGTCAAAAGTCCCTTTTCTCATTTGTAACTGCCTTGCTGAAAACATAACAGTTTGAATAATTAGTTATCTAATGCCAGTGTTCTCCTCCATGCAGGCACCTGTTCCCCAGCCCAGGCAGAAGCTATTTCTCAGCTGAAGCCAGAGACCTCAGTCAGCTGCCATCTGAGCTTCAGCAGTGATGTTATTGACTTCTCTGCTAATGATGTCTTCAAAACACACACCAGCTTCGACTCCAGCATTGGTAAGGCTTTTCTGACCAAAAATCACGTCCATGGTCAAAGCAGCAGAAAGCCTTTTCATATTCATACAGAAACTGTGAGCAGTTACAAAGCCTTTGAGAAAATGTAATCATTTTTTATTTTATTCAGACACAGAACATGTGGGTCTCTTTGGAGGATACAACCCTTTATCTTTAATTTGGTGTCTGTCCTTTTGCATTTAGATCAATTTTTAAAGGTTTTTATTGAAAGTGACCTCCAAGCATCTCAACTGTCAATACTGAGATAGATTTGTTTGACATTCACCCTGCTTTTTTGTAAGTTAAACTTTTCAAAAAATGCATTTATTCTAAATCTTACCTAGGCATACCTTTTTTTAATGTGAACACTATGCAAGATCTGCCAGGAAGACACTATTTACAGGGCCGTAATCAATATCTGCATTTCCCATGGAATGAGTTTAGCAGGGACTGTAATAAAAGGTGTCCAGGTGATGTATTGAACTGACAAGACTCCCTTTTGCTTGAAAGCACTGCTCTAATTGTGTTTGGGACTTCGCTGCAGTTGTTGGGGATCGCTGTGTGTGTGTACAAGGCTGTTTTCACTCAGCCGAATCCCACTGAGGTCCTAATGGGAGCAAGTGATGTGAAATGACCCTCTTTGACAGTTTCAGACATTAGACCCGAGCGGGGATATAAACTGCTTTGTTACGTGTCTTGCCCCTTTTTGACACCACATTGACACTAGGGACCACCTACTGTGACATGCATAGTTTTTCCTCCTGTCCCACATGCACACATTGGTAGTTAGAGGAGCTCTATACAGAATCCAAAGCATATATATGATTTAAGGGTGGTTTCCAAAAAGGGAACCAGAGGGAGGGTGTTTTGTGACAATGCGACAATTCCATGGGTTGGGACTGCATTTCAGCATTACCCACCAGGCAATTAGTGATTAGTCAGTCACACACACACACACACACACACACACACACACACACACACACACACACACACACACACACACACACACACACACACACACACACACACACACACACATAGATATATATATATATATATATACTACAGTACATTGAACATTAGTCAATGCATTGTATGAGCACCTGGCCTGGATACCAAAACACAGTCCCAGAAGCTCTGATAACAACACAAACACGGGGAAGGTGACATTCTGTGCTCTCTTACTCCACTATTTATTTACAAAGCAAATGTGTGTGTGCCTCTATATTCATTTTCTGCAGTCTGTAGAACTTTTAAGCCTGAACCAGCTTTCTCCTTTTTTATTCCTGCCCCAGGCTCCTATACATGTTCCATAACCTTGCAGCCAATGACGGAACAGCAGAGCCGTGTGCTCAGCATGTCCATGACCGACCTGCTGGTGGGGGCCGGCCTGGAGGGCGGGGCCTCCTCTGGGGAGCGGGTCAGCGCCCGGCTGCCCATCGAGCCCGGCCTCTACGTCGACCAGACCGAACTGCTGCTCTCCAACCTGCACCCGTCAGCGGAGCTCACCGTCTACGGCCCCACGGCTGCCCTGTCCAACATGGAGGTCAGTAGAACCTGCTGTAAAATGTGCCATTGTTACTTTTGTATGTGTAGTATGACCCTTTTATTTATTTATTTTTTATTTTATAGAACTTTTTTTTTTCAGACAATAATACAGTGCAATATATCTTTCAGTCACATTCAAATGTTCAGTTTTTCCAGCTGTATCAATACAATCCTGAATAGATTTCAAGTATTAGACAACCAGTGACAGACTCTCCAGGGCTAAAAAAAATTAAAAAATCTAATAAAGATAGCCTAGCTTGAAAAATAATTAACAAATAATAGTAAATAAACAACAAAAATAATAATGATGCAGAGAGAATACAAGTGACATACAGGAGTGTTAACAATTCTTACTGTATTAGTAGATGTATTACAGGGGCCCATCGCCTCATAAATGTATTTTTTTGTAGGAGTAATAAATGTTATTTGCTCCATGTGGTGGATAGCATGACCCTTTTTAGAACAAAGTATGTATAGAAGTAACACGCCTGCACACTTTTAGGTGGTGTCTTCCTCTCCCAACATTGCTGTCCAAGACATTGAAGTACACCAGGGCTTCCCCAGCTTCTCGAAGTACACCATCAGCGCCGTGGACCCTCAGGCAGCGATCTCTGCCTCCATCTCCATAAGCAGCCCCTCCTGCGGCCCCACGATCGTCATCCCAGTCGCTCTGATTCACGTGGCTGATCACAACGCTGCCAAGCTAGGTCTGATAGCCTTTCAGTGCAAATGACAACACACTGCCTCAAGCCACAATCTCACGTTGCTTTAAATAGACTGCATGTGTAAGGTCACGGGAACGGAAGCATGGCTGTCACCTATATTCATAGAAAAGTTTGAAATGTCAATCTAAGTCATTTCAATTCAATCCATGTAGCCTCATCCAAAAATAACTGTTGACAAGCTAATGTTACAATAAGTTGTTAGCATTTTACAACACCAGCAATACAGCCTTGCTGGACCATCTATAGTTTTAATTTCTAACTCTACACCTCAATACTTCTGTCTTGTGTGTTCAACATTACTTTATATGATGTTCTCATTTTACAGTAGTCTCATTCACTGAGGACTACAGGGCATACTCTTGGAGTCTTAGGAAAGTCCCAGCTGGAGTACAAGTCACGGCCTGTTGCACTTACAGAGAAGAAGTTAACCTTAGAGCAGATGATTATAGAAACATTTAAATATTCCCCATGCACACTTGTTTGTTGTTTAGTAGTATTCAGTATTCAGATTTCACTGCCACGGTTACAAACGTCATTATCCTTCAGTGCCATAGCGACGACTTGTTAGTGTGTCACATGTTCTCAGCGCTCTGGAGGAGGTTTTGACAGCCTGTTATCTCCATCCTCCGCTCTCTCACAGCAGCTGCTACTCCAGTTGTGAACTTCGAGGGGAGCCACTCCCTGCACAGCTTCATAAACTCCTACCAGATGATGTTCTTCACCCTGTTCGCTCTGCTGGCCGGTACCGCCATCATCATCATCGGTGGGTCGCCTCATCACTGTGGGAAATGCTATTCTTGTAAAACTGGGGTAGTTGGAGGCACAGTAATACTATGACATTGTTTGAATACCTGGCATATTTGATAATAAGGTATTTGCTTTCAAATGAACTGTTTTTTTATTTTCATCTTAATCGTTACTTGTTAAACTGAAATGGTTTATGTGACTTGAGTGAACAAAGCTGTTGACATTTAACTTTAAAGTCAAGTATTATTGATTTATATATGTTTTAATTGTTGTTTACCTCTTATTATAAGAACAATTTCTGCAATTACCTTTTTATATTTAGTGTAATTCCTTTTGTACACACCTGAAAATCAACGCCTCTAACAGTGCAAGCTCTATTGGATCGGGTTGAATTCAAACATGAAGTATTGTCCCAACATGACAAGTGTGTGTTCATTAGTGGTGGCCACAATTTGAAGCACCTGAAGCTGTGAGGAAATGGTGTGATTCCCTATAGGTGTACTTGATACTAAGCTCTTCAAACACTGGGATGATGTGTTTTTAAAATGTGTTTTTATTCCCTTTAGTCCTTCACACGCTGTTCAGCCCGAGGGAACCAGCTTATCACCATGCTTTCATCCAGAGGACACCACCTATTTCCGGTAGGACACTATCACTGTGACACTTCCTCACGACATCTATCAAGCATATAATGAGTAAAGCAAACATTCAAAGGGTTATACCTAAATGTATGACACCTCTCTTTGGGTTGAAGCAGCAATACAAACGTTTGTTTAACCTCCATAGTGGTGACGCCACTGCTGTAAAAAGTCTACTGAGAAAAGGTAGTCTGACAGCATCCAGGACACTTTTCTGGCAGTCAAAATAGATTTTTTGATGAAACGCCACCTCTCCCGTTGTAAATTGAAGCTCATTTGGATGTAATACCTAGCCAAGAAAAGCATTGTATCAGTCCCCAAGTCTTCAATTTAATGTGAAAGACTCTACCGGTGTTTGATATCCCAATTTATAGCCTGTTATCTGGCTGCTGCCGCATTTTAGGGAGAGATCTAGACACGGTGCCAATACAAATGAGGCTGTACATTTGTGATTTCCTTTAAACCAAGTGGTATTTCATTTTGAAAATTCTGCCATATTTGAAGGGACCTTGACTGCTAGCAACTGATTTACTCCACTTATACATTTTCGTTGTATTCTGCAATTGATGCGTTATTTACTCCGTGCTATATTTGGCCTTATTTCAGGTTTAAACTCTCCAGCAGTGAATTCCTTTAACCGCACGATACCGAGGATGGACCCAAGCAGCAGCCCCAGGTCTCGTCTTTATTCTCCAGACTACAAGTCCTGATAAAGCTTTCTGTCTGGTCTCTTTTTCTTTGAAAAGTAGAACACCACAGGCCATTAATACATTTTCAATGTGCCTCTGTCCCTCAGTAACAAATGCTGCGGGATGCGAGTGCAGAATCTCAGTTTCCTCATTTCTTGGTACAGATTCTTAAAAAAAAAACTCAATTTTCAGAATAGCAGTTCAGTTAAGAGCTGCACGACTAAAACAGCGCTGTTTTTCTTTGTGTGTATGTTTTTGTGTTGAAACAGATATATATGTGTGTCTTTTTAGTGATTTGCATCTGATATAGCTTTTGTTTTACGAAACCGTCCCGTGTTCAACTGACATCTTTTCATGTGTGCTTTAAAAAACAACCACTCGATTGTGCTTTAAATTAGGCTTTGTTTTTGCTCACCCCTTACTTGTCTGCAACTTATTTGACATGTGAAATGTACTAGCTCAGGGGGAACCTAATTCTTGTGTGACAGAAAGCGAACTTTAACTTGAAAACATTTGATTTTATGAGCAGGGAGTTGTTTCGTTGTAGCTAATACATTTTTGTGAAAATGCCGTCCACTGAAACCGTCCTATTTAAAAGGTGATGAACCCCTTTAAATGTGCATAAATCCTACTGGAAAATGTTAGAATTATTTCTGTTCTGGGCATTTTACTTCATTATTCAACATTACTGAGGTTTTGAGCCATAATGCATGCAGCTCCTGTGTAATTTATTAATGTGAAACAGTTTAGCATCATTCAGTTTTTATCCCGTTGTTGCTTTAGTGCAGAAGCAATCAAATGTGACCTGGTGTCATGTAATGTTCAGCTTGTTTTTGCACCACCACATTTCGGGAGGAGTTTAATGTAGCACTGTCGAATTGACGAGACATGGACGAGTGTGAGTTTGTTTTAAATGAGATATTTTTCTATACATTTTGAAGTGAAATGCTGATAAGCAATTGTATTTATGTTTGCTAGTGAAATTCAGTGTTACTGTAAGAGGAGTATGTGTGAGGATCAAATGGCTTCAGTTCTGTTTTTGTGTTGCCTTACAATCATATTTGAAAAGCTTTCAGCACATAATACAGACAAGTGTGTTTGCTTGTGTGAAAACGCTCTTACCTTTTGCTAATTAAAGTTTGTACTTTTCACGTTCAGCATCGATCTGGTTATTATTCATCCAAGACATCTATACAACTATTTTGCATGAAACATTTACAAAAGAAACAGACTAACGGAAACCATCTTTCCACAACAGAATAATAAATGAAAGTCCTACAGACAGCATATTTTCTCTTCTGAATAACTTCAAATACAGACAGATGTAGATGAAGTCTGAAAACTATAGCTCTTTCTCCACCAACAAAACCAATTCTGTCACCTATCGCTACAAATTAGATTTCTGCATCACCTGTTTCACTTATCTGGTCATTAAATTCTTCCTATCCTCTTCAATATTTCATCAAGACATATTTTTTTGGGATGTTTCTTCATTTTCCCCCTAGTTTATAACTGAAGAAAAAAAAAATGTCTTCTCAGCAAAGGTGGTTCAACAGGGTTATTTTTCAAACTTATTTGCTGCAGCAGAAGAAATACAATATGTAATGCAAGGAAAGCACTGCACAATATGTAAATATAAAGTTTCATGGGAAACTGGTAATTCTGTATATTAACAATGGCTGAGATCCCTTTTATGCCACAGCCTGTAGACTCTCCACAGTCTGATGTGATACAGAGCGGATTAGGAGGCTGTCGGCCTCTCTGTCTCCCTGAGGATGTGTAAAGGTCTGTGACATCTGATCAAATATCTCCCATCTGTCTGTGACGCTGCTCTGGATGGTCCCAGTCACCTAGCTCATTGGTATGCCCTCTGCAGCCGCCTGCCAATGCTCCACGATTTCCAGCAGGTAAGCACAATGTGCACCACAGAATTATTTGTGAAGCAGCAGGATTTATCGTCTTAATGGGTGCACATTATTTTTTATTATAGTGCAGATTGTTCTGTTTTAAGAATAATCAATCAGTTTCCAATTTGTGAAAAGCAGAATATGAGCACCACATTTATCAGGGCCTGTGTTCAAATGCTTGTTTTCATCTTACCATAAGTCTAAACCTATACATATTTGATTCATGATGATATATAGCAAACAAGAGCAGAACATCTTCACATTTAAGAATCTGAACCGGCGTATTTGGCATTTTTGCTTGAAATGTTACAGATATAGTTCATTAGTTTTTAATACAGTGTTATTACTCAAGGCTAAAAACTGTACAACGTATGTTTACAGACACATAAAACCCACAAACTTGCTCTGCTGCACATGAAAAAATAATTCTGGGTGGGACACGCACAGCAGCTGCTTAAGTCTTTGCATTATTTCCCACATGCTCTTTATTTCTCAGGGGGGGTTAGACAGACAGAGCATCGACTTATGCCTGAGAGGTGTTTATTAGGAAGCTGAGGACGGCCAGCTGTGTAGCTCTGGCTAACGCTACGGTTAAGGGTATCTTAAGATGTTGGGTGGCTTAGGAGGAGACCGCATGTTAACGTTGTATTGGGTAAGGAAACACATTAAGCTGATTGGCTATCTGCTTCAGCAGCTGCTAGCAGGAGACAGAAGAAGCACAGCAGCAGCCTCACATTCATTTTGATTTACTTTCTGCTTCAGTTCAAATGTGATGAAATTCAAAAGTGGAAATGAACATTTTGAAATGACTCCCATGAAATGATATTGGCACGTGGGTTTTAAACGTGACCGTGTAGTATACCTATAGCTTATTAAGGCAGTCATCCGTGTTAAGCTAGAATGACACTCAATTTATTCTCTCCATTAAGGCACACAGGTTGCATAAACCCCACCTGTCAGTCTGTGGAGCTGAGAGCCATCTTGCTGCGTCCTGGGTGAAGGGAAACCGCCACTGTTCCAGATGGCTTACCGTGATCTCAGTGGAGGGGATCAATGAGGTGCGCATCGAATGAGACCTGACAAGAATAGTGAGGCTGCTCCCTCAGGATGATCAGGGCGGTGTAATAAAGGTCTCGTTATAAGGCGATTTCTTCGTGAGGGAAGTCAGAAGTTGCAGATTTGAGCCCAATTAATGCTTAGTTAGTTTTTATAGTTCAGTATTTTTTAACTATGAACTGAATTTTACTTTTTTAATTGGTTATATGAGTGTTTCCTCTGGAGAAATGTCAATAGGCTGAAGACTGAAGTTCATTATACAAAATGACGCAAATGTCGATGAAAACTTAATCAAGCGCCCAATCTATATTCTTACTGTTTGGATTTGTTGCGAGAGCACCGCTGAGGAAACTCCCTAACGTAATTGGTTTTGGTCTTTATGACTTTAATTACGTTTCATGTGAATTTCAGAAAAGAAATCAATTGCTTTATAGCCTTCAATGTTCCCTCTTGTGTGACAGTTCAGATCCATCACACTATGCACATCTATATGAGGTGATTGTTGATCTCAGCAGAAAGTATTTGGCATTCTTTGAAAATAAAAATGTTTCCAGTCTGCTGGTTAAATGATTGTGGCATTTCTTCCATCACAGCTGGCAAATGTTTTGTAGGGCTGATATAAGAGCCCTTCCGAGTGGGTTTGCCTCAGTGCAAATATGAGCAATTTGACAAAAATAAATCTCTCTGGCTGGCACCCGCACTGGTACAGAACAGGCATCTGAGCGGTCAGCCAGAGGAAGAAAATAGAGCCCAGGAGCATAATAATGACATGGGTTTTGGAAGGCATTAATGGTTGCTGGCATGCCTCATCCACGCAAGTCATAAGGTTCAGTACGTCCAAAAACTCCTAAAGCTATTGTAAGTTGACCAATGGAGCTGCATGAACAATTTCACTAGAAAAATATAAATATGGCAGATTTTGATTTCTTTGCGATACTGCTTTTATCTCTTTCGTTCTCCTCTCTTTTTTGTCTTTAAAACACAAGGTCAGTTGAGGAATAGCAACATCAGGGCTGGAAGGGATTCATAGCTCACCAGAGGACACTTTAGCAAGTATAAAACGATGCAGTGATGTGCATGTGGGCTCATGGTCTCCTTTCCCTGGGACACTGCTTGTAATGGTTGGCAGTTTTGTATTGCTAAGGGCACAAAACAAAGACATTAACCTTATGATGGTGTGTGCCGCTTCTGTGTTGTATACATCTCTAGAAATGAACTGAGAATTAAGCATTGCTTTTGGCAGTGTTCTGTTGACATGCACCACCCTGTGACTTTTGGCTGTTAATGGCTGTGTTGTATATAATTTGAAACCAGAAAAAACAAGCTAATGTAGCCCATCTGTACCCCATGTCCTTAAACAGCCTCCCACAGTGGTTTGCTGCAGCTCTGCCTCCACATTAAATAACTTATCACAAATCATCCAAGTGCAGCCTTCACGTGGTGAAGCCTGCAATAAAGGTAACACCCTCAATTTCATGGATAAAGCATTCACCCTGTGTGTTTGCGCTGTGACTGCATTCAGGCATACAAAACCTAAAATCAACTATCAAAAACATTTCAAAAGAGAAAAGGGACCCCTATGAGGGAAGTGCACATGAAAATATTGTGAGTTTTTTGACAACTAGGCTTATTCTTAAGTGTGAGTGTGTAAGTTACTTTGATAAGAAAGTCAGCCATTGGTGAGCGATTCAAGACACATGGAGAAGAGATAATAATGCAAACTGCCATAACTCAGTCTCAGTCACTGATTTACCTCTCATGTCTGTAATATACTACACAAGGTTTTTTCTTTCTGCTTCACATGCTGTGTATTTTAAAGACTTAACAGTTTTAAGTCCCATTTCAGAAATATAAATCCTACAATAATCTTAATTGTCAAAGCAGGGCAGATGAGGCTATAACAGACACAACTCCAGCATCAGCCTCTGTATCTCAGGCAGTGCTGCAGTTGGCTCTCTTACAGTGCACCCTTGGGACCACTGCATCCTCTGCCACACATAGAGATGTGTTGAACAGTAAACTCATTTTTGATTCAAACACTAACCCACGCTGCTCCCTGCTATTAGGATAATTTCACTAGAGGGGGGAACAGTCTGCTGCTGCTGAAACGGCATCACATAGACAGCATAGTAAACAACTCTGCAGGAGAGACGCAGCACCAACAGCATTAAGCACAGGCGGAATATAAAGCAAAAGTTCTTCTGTTTCCAATACGAGTGTGAGAGAGGGGTGGGTGTGTGTTCGTGTGCATACATGCATAAAACACGCGCTGAAAGGACATGAGACAGTATTTTGAGTATACTGAGGGACAAACCCACCTCCCCTCATCCAGCTCCTGCTAAGCTATTGTTGCGCTCATTGCGACCTGCAGGTTCATAAAACTTGCTAACCCCGCCCACTTGACAGCCAGCGTCTGTTTACGAAAAGTCACGGGAGCAGCATGGAGCTAAAGGTGCCTCACACAAAATCTCATAGCGTGCTGCCAACATGGGGGAACAGGACTTCACGGAGAGCCAGCTTCGATCCTCAATAGTCTGTCACATTCTGGTTGATTGATCACTTGACATTTACAGCTTGGTACGTGATTAGCATCTTTTAGTTTTGTGGGTTTAAAGCAGTTCTAAACGCGCGTACAGGGACTATTTATTTGAATGATCACCCACACGGACTTAAAACAATGGCGAGGCGTAAAAGGCGCAACCCGGTGAATTGTTGCGCTTAAGCCCGGTCTGGACTAAACGGAACCATTCTGTGATACAGCAGGGAACCACAGCGGAGCGATATGGAAAACCCAACCGAGAACCCTACCAGGGCTGTGGAATATTTGAAGGAGCTTAACAAGATCATCGAGACCCAGCAGGAGTTGCTGGAGAGGCAGAGGGAAAGGATCGAGGAGCTGGAGCAGCAAGTGTCCGACTTGTGCTCGGAGAACGGCTGTCTGAAGGAGCAGTACAAGCGGCACCTGGCGAACTGCAGGCTGCTGCAAGGCACCAACAGCCTGATCACCCTGGGGGCCATAAAGGAACATATCACGCAGGAAAAGTAAGACAAAACCTCGTCTGGTATTGCTTTTATTAAAGTTAAATCATCCCTGTTGAACTGCATTATTTTCATGGATTTAAAGTTAGAACAATGTACCTGATTAAAGTAATTATTACCAAAGCAGAGCCCATCTAGCTCAGGTCCAATACTGCCACACAGTGATCCGCACTTGCAACTAACGTTAGTCTACTTTGGCATCAGATGCTTTTACTGATATTTGCTGATGGAAAATAGGTCCTGGGATTACGCACGGTACACTTACAGAAAATGGGGTTTGTTGGACAGCATAGCTTTTACTGATCAAATGCAAGAGAGAATCTCCAAAGCACCCAGGTAAACTTGTAGTTTCCCAACAGATGAATTCCCAGTGGGCCTACAGTTGATTCATGTTGCCTTTGAGAGTGTAAGCTGTATATGTCAATATGTATGGGATATTTAGCAGATACAATTCAGTTTAAGATGTGCGGTAGATTATAGACTCGTGCTCAGAATCTGGTGTTTTTCAGGTTCTGTAACTTCAGCATGACAGTAGTCTCTCAACTATGCCTTTGCTCTAGCTCTCTGTGGTTTTACAAAAGGATGTCATTTGCGTGGACAGGCACATTTACCCATGATAAATGGAATACAATAGCTACAAACCTGAAAAAAGGGCACATTCTTGGGATAGATCCATTATGCAATTATGTTTGAGGGCTGGCCCTGTCTGCAGGCAGTGGGTTAAGCCCCAGGCAGAGCAAAGCAGAGTAGGTGGGCCAAATGTAGAGGAGCATTATATCAGGAGTGCAGTTAAAAAAAAATTGCTGTTCAGGCACATCATCAAGATGAACATCCCTGCATAGTCCTGTGTTCACACTCTGTTGGTCATATCTCCAAATGGCTCAGCATGCAGACATTTAACTCAACTTTTGACAGTGTGCAGATTCATTTGATCATGCTTGACCTTTGTGTCCAGGAGCGTGTTGGTGTCATGAAGATCAGTGGCAGCAAATCAATACTGATGAGTCATAGACTGTGTGGCTTTGGTGGCTGATAAAACCAGAGTCATCAGAAGAGGACGTACTATAACACTGACCTTTTTATAAATCTCTTTCGGCACTACAGTAGTAGAGTATTCTGTGTTATTTCTTTGGAAAATCAGTCTGTCACTATCTCTCATTCTGTACGGTCACAGTGTCTGAACACTATTTCAGTCCAGCTCTGGCAGAATGACACAGAGGTTAGCGAGGAGCCTGTGATTACCCCGATGAACCCCATGGAATATGACAGCTGTTAATCATGTAAAGTGGGGTTTATGGAGGACATTTAAGTGCAGTAAAATATGTATTTCAAGATTTGCCAAGGTAATTTAGCATGAAGAAAAGTAGGTTAAATATAGGTAATAATGAACTTTGAAAATAAACTGTCTTGCATCCATTTAGTTGCCATTCGAAGAGGTCGGTTACAAAGTGGCAAGAGCCATCCATAGCATCCCAAATGTCTGTTTCTTAGATTGATTTCTGGTTTTCCTGAGGGATTCCCAGGATTACCCATAGGGATCTGTTACTAATCTGCTTTTGACATACTTCCAAAGAGAGTTCTGAGCAGCTGCTCTGAGGTTAAAAAGCTCTGTTGACTTGTTTTGGACATTAATTATTTTAAGCCATTAGGAGCAAATGAGTTAATACCCTACCTGCAAAACTAATGAAATTCTTGTTAGCCTCACTGGTACTTTGTTTTGCTAATGATAAAGTGTTAGCACATTAAACCAAAATCCCGAACATGGTAAACATTTAAAAAATACCATGCTGATATTTAGTCTAAATAGAGTAGCTACTGTGGCAGTAAACTTTAATATTTCTTCATACTTCATTGACGAAGATTAGTTGTTCAGAATTCAGTTATTCATGAAAATGTAATTTGTCATGTAGTTGTTATTTAAAATGTTACCATATTTAATAGTGTCAAACACCTGAAACCACAATGTTATATGTACCTGCAGTTTTTATCTTGAAAGACATATTGACCTTGTTGCAAACATGTAAATATAGATTCATATTTCATAAGCGATCAAAAAGCCTGAATAACAAAACTATCCGAAAACATCTCAAACAGAACCACTTCAGACCTTGGCTTTGTCTTCATTATCTCAGAATGAACATGACATTAGTGTAAGCAAGTCTGCTTCCAGTCTGCTGCCAGTGACATGACAATTTTGAGTCCGACATTAAGACAAACATGTTGACATAGCTCTCTTTATGCAGTCAAGCATGTCCTTTTCCTCTTCACATGGTGGTTGTCACGTTTGCTATGCAATCAAGACCTGAAGCAGGAACAAGCAGTTGCATAAAATAACTCCTATTAGCTTGCTAGTATGATGGAAAACCATTCGTAGCCCATTCAGGTAGTTTGCTATCCACAAGACAAAAGTAGACCAATTTAACAAAGTCCCTGCAGACGTCAGTCCCCTGTGAAATACATCGTTTTATAGATTGGGGAAATATTCTTATTTGCTTTCCAGCCTCAAGTTAGATGAGAAGCTGGATACCAACCACATGTCTGAATGCTAAGTATGATACTCCAGTCAGTTAGCTTAGTAAAAAGACTGAAGACTCTTACTGTGTGTTAACACTTTTTATTACAAGTAGAATATTGTCAGGGGATACGGGGAGTGTATTCAATAAAGCCAAATTAATTATGTTATGTTTCTTGGAACTGCATTCACAGCCTCACAGGACTTGCTTTACACCAAGATGTTTTTCTGCTTTTGTATTCCTTTCTTTTGTGTTTTAAAGTTTAAATCTATAACCTTTACATTTTCTCTCGGTTTAATGCATGCAGTCTGTCATATAATATGTATATAGGGATATAAATACAAGTAAATACAAATACAGTTGGAAGCTGTTATCTGCCTTTGCTTCCTTTTTCTGTTTAGTATGATGTATGTATGATGTATTTGTATTACAGTTATCTTGAATTCAGGTTGTGTTCTTTTTCATACTTAAAGCAAATAGTGGTACTTTCACCTGTCAGTTCTCATTTGGCACGATTCCAATGCTAACTGACCTGATAATGGAAAGAGAGGAAGGACAACAAGCAGAAAATCGTACACCATGTATAACAGTCATGTTCTGTTTTAAAACAAGTGGCAGATAAAGTGTTTCTGCTACTGAATGATACATAAGATCGTTTTCTGCTATCTTGGGTTGCCTTTAAAAGCATGCTTTTCCCTGTATGTTGTTTGTACAGTTTTTCCATCTACCCTCTTTTAGAAACAATGTGCAGAGAGCAGGAAATGTGATGCACATCTGATAGTGCAACCTGTGGTGCCAAGTCAACAGATTCCTCTGTGAACTCTGCAGAACCGGCTCCTGGGTAACATTGTCGGTCAGGTTTTAAGGATGCAGCATTGCTGTGCAGGTATCGAAAGTCATCCTAGTGTGTTCTGACCTATGGTGATCAATAAAGTTGTCCACCTTATAAATTGTAACCCCAAGGCTGCTGGGTGAAGAATCTGCGGGAGGCAGTTGATTGGTTTTCTCTTAATTTAAAGTTCACAGTACCTTGAGTTCAACTTAAAGTTCATTTAAACTGGTTTTGCACTTTAGCAAGAATTAGCAATCAAAGACAAGTTTCCTTCTGTTTATGGCTCCCGAGTTGCCTGCCTTGTCAGCCTTTTAGTCAAGCCATAACTTTGCTGACCGTATGTAGTTTGTTTTCAACAGTGCTCTTCAGTTACTTGTATCCCTTGTGCTCACTTAGGAATTAAATGACAAGTGATACAAGATTAGGTTGCAAGTTTTTGAAGCACACATTAGTGATTAATGACTCTTCACGGGCGCTTAAGTCTTACTGACTTTAGGGCTTTAGCAGACTTTCAACACACACACGTATTGTATGTCTAGTAAGTGAATGTGATACGTTGTGAAATGAAACAAAAAGTGAAATCCCCTAAATATTTTTTTGTGCATTATGCAGGAGAGGCTGGTGGTTTAATCTAAGTGGATCCACGGGGATCCGGAATGGTGTGCGTGAGTGCTTTCACTTCGTATCTCGTGTTGGTGGATGCATCTGCCAGCCCACATTTAGTATTCAAACTTTTTTCCCAGGCATGGCCAGCCAACCGAGTGCAAACAATATTTGGGACGCTGATGTGATGGCTGGAGAGATAACCTCTTCAGCTGTAGTTGACAAAGAGCTGAAGTGTCATTTTCTGCACAGCTTTGTATTACATTTCTTTTTCTTAAATGTACTAAAACAGTATCCTTACTTTGATATTCATTGTTTGCTGAACAAATGCAGGCATTTCCCAATAACATTTTATTCAGAGTTGTATCTCAAATAGGCTGAGGAGGGCCGTGGTGGTTTGTGGAAGTTGAGGATTCATGCAGTTATTTAATTTAGTATAACTCCCGGGGGGGAAAGAGGCATAAGTAATCAAATATTGATGACACGTCATTGCCTACTCAAACTCTCTCCCTGTTAATAACCTAATCGAGCTAATAGGAATGTTTGAATGCTGATGAATGAACAGCAAAGCTCCTGAGTTGTTGATTCTGTGCCAGATCTCAGGCAGGATATATGCCATAATGTGACAAAGAAATAAAACAAACAAACATGTAAAGTCTCATCCGCAGGCAGTGCAAAAAGTATATCCGTTTTATGTAGAGTGGTTTACATTCATTGCATGTATTCAGTTGCTAATAAGCTATCATTGCTTTGATGCTCAAGACTTGCAGTTAAACGTGTTTGGAAAGTTAAAGCAGCTGCTGGATTATGCAAATACAAGATTTGGGAAGATAAGTGTTTTCCGTTGTTGTCTAAGCAGCGATCTGTCTTAGTATTTAGGTGATAATAATGCCCGTTCTGTTTTGAGGCTTCATTTTCACTTTATTTAAAATTGGGATGCATTTTGTTGCAGGGTTAGGGTTAGTAAGATGGGTTTATGTTTCCTTCATATACAGTTGCAAGAAAAAGTATGTGAACCCTTTGGAATTACCTGGATTTCTGCATAAGTTGGTCATAAAATGTGTTCTGATCTGCACGTTTGAAGTTTACAAAAGAGCACCTGGATGTTCCACAGCACTACTGGCAAAATATTCTGTGGACAGATGAAACCAAAGTTGAGTTGTTTGGAAGGAACACACAGCGCTATGTGTGGAGAAAAAAAGGCACAGCACACCAACATCAAAACCTCATCCCAACTGAGAAGTATGGTGGAGGGAGCATCATGGTTTGGGGCTGCTTTGCTGCCTCAGGGCCTGGACAGATTGCCATCATCCACGGAAAAAATGAATTCTCAAGTTTATCAAGACATTTTGCTGGAGAACTTAAGGCCATCTGTCCACCAATTGAAGCTCAACAGAAGATGGGTGATGCAACAGGACAACGACCCAAAGCACAGAAGTAAATCAACAACAGAATGGCTTCAACAGAAGAAAATAGGCCTTCTGGAGTGGCCCAGTCAGAGTCCTGACCTCAACCCAATTGAGATGCTGTGGCATGACCTCAAGAGAGCGATTCACACCAGACATCCCAAGAATATTGCTGAACTGAAACAGTTTTGTAAAGAGGAATGGTCCAAAACTCCTCCTGACCGTTGCTTCAGATTTTAAGTCTAACTCAACAAAGCGAACATTTAAAATTAAGATTTTGATAACACCACGTTGCATTAAAACCCATAGGACTTTGTGTAAATATTAACAACATGTTATGCTGGTGGTAAACTACACCAGGTGACATTTTAGTGGTAGAGTTTCTATCCTCCATTGTACCGAGCAATTTTACGGTAGTAACACAAATGGCCCGCCAAGAGTAAACCCCTGGTCTAGTAATGTTGTCACTTTCGCCTGGTGAGTTTGGTTTGGGAATACAAAGACATAATTACCGGGACTAACTCCCCCTTAGCTCTCTCCAAAGTCGCCACACGAGAAACGAAGGGAGGTCCAGATACTGACACCGCAGTGACACTCTCCCATACTCCGATTGTCGCGATTGATTGTGTATTCCGTCGGACCGTCAACTCAAAAAGCTCACGTGCACTGTAAAACATGGATACCTGTAGAACGGAACTCTAAAAAATTTCATCCAGACTTACGTTTAGTGCAAAACCGAGACAGAACAA